TTCTCTATGGAAGCAAAAGCTGGTTCCAACTCGACAAGCATTGGAGCCGAGTAACAGTCGCAGAAATGAGATACCTGAGGAGAGTGGCTGGCCGAACCAGAAGAGATCTGGTTAGAAATCAGCGAATACAAGAGGACCTGGGAGTTTCAGCTGTAAAAGAAGTGGTTGAAAGTAGGCAGCTGAAATGGATTGGGCACCTTTCGTGAATGGAGGAAGATCGAGATCCAAGGTTGTACTTCGAAGCTAGGCCAACTGGAAGACGTCCCCGGGGCAGACCTATGCTAACGTGGACGGACCACATCTCCAAGCTGAGACAGCAAAGAGGATGCGGGCTGAATGCCATGAAGGCGCTGGCCTAACACCGGAATGCATGGCTGGCATGAACTGAGGCACCTCCACGCTGAAAGTCACAAGGAGGAAGAAGAAGATATAAAGTGGCAGATGGTCAATTTGGGCGAAAAGGTCGCTTTAACTTCTAGGCATATATCTATCGTGATTTTGATTAAATGCAAACTAGGCTGTTCACAAATTCTCAATTACATCGACCATTTTGTGAAACTTGGAAATTTATATTCAGGAGAGTTTTAAACGTGTTTTTTCTGGGATTCTAAACTTGTTGCTTGGGAGAATTTTGGGAAGGCTTCAGCCCGAAATTTTTTTTTTTTTTTAATAAATAATGATCACTACTTTGGTAGAAAAACAGTGAAACTAAGTAATAACCTATCTAAAATGGTGTTTAATTGATTCTTGAAGTTCTATTAAATGTAATTACACGAACAATAATACATTTACTATAGGTTTTTCATATTTATTTCATAAGACGTAGTTATGTTTTAACATTTTGGGGGCCCTTAACATTTAACATTTCAGCCCAAAAGTTCCTCCTCTTCTCCCTCCGCCCCTCCTCTGTTTTTTCGCCTGTGCTGTCATTAAAAATAAAATTTCCTAGTGCAATCATAATGATTATCGATGAACTAACGAAAAGTGTATTCACCTATCGATGTTTGTTTACACTTGTGCCATCCGATGATCGCTCCTGGAAGGTTATATTATCAGTGGAAGACTTGTATGGTTTTAGGATGTTTTGACAGATTTTACTACTTATTAAATCGTCTATTACTATGATTTTTCCTTTTTCTTATATTTTGGTTTGTTTAAAATTTCATTTTATAACTCTGCTTTGTAATTAACCAATCCAACTAAAGAAAATAAGTAATTTACCAATTTTACCTAGAGCATTTTCTACTCTATTTATCTTAAATAAATTTGTGCTTGCTCTGTTTTGCAGTTACCTTAACAGTCTCCTATTCCTTGTGATTGTCATGACAGGAATAATTTCGATTAATAAATATTGAATGAATTTGATTTGTAGTTTGTTATTGCCTTGCATGTTTGTTTATAACACATGTCGCTTTTAACTCATTGCCAGTGTATTTTCATTTTTTTTTTTTTTTTTTTTTATGGTTTTGTTATACCATATAATATGTTTTTTGTAAGAAAAGGTACTAATTCAAATGAGTGAACGGATTAAGTATGGTTTACAATCACTTAGATCTCTATGCTGAGCTAATGGAACTAATACCTAAGAAAATATTTAATTCCTTGTCAGTAAAGTAAAAGTAAATTTTGTGGAAGTATTGCAAGTCAAATAATTGACACTGATGATGCTATGACTTTTTTAATTGTATTTGTAGATACAATTTATGCACAAATTCTCTTAAAATTTATTGAAATTGAATATGAGTTTGCAGACCATATTGTTTGGAATGATTTAGGAGGAATAGTGAAATAATTATGCATTAAATTTACTGTTGGCCTAAAGAAGTATACAATAATGAGTAAATTTATTTCAATTAAATGAATCCGCAGAGACCTTTATGAAAATATCAAAAGATATTTAATAGTTTTTATCAATCATTCAAGCTATAATTAGATACAAATTAACATTTTATTAATTTTAACTTACAGATAAAACTGTATAGTATGTAGGTTGTTAAATAATTAGTCCTAGTGATTTTTAAAAACAAAACCTGTTAAGTTTCTTTACTAAGAGATGTTTTGCCCTACACATATCCATTCTAAAGTCAGGAAACAAAGAATATCTTAAAGTTTCTTTTTTGGACTGTTAATCTGAATGATACTCTCTTTTACATACAATTAAAATATTGTTTTTCCTGCTTTGATGAAATGCAAATTAGCAAAACATTAGCTGACTAGTTATTTACTTGAAATCAATATTTATGAAGTCAGCATTTGCTTAGTGCCGTTGCGTACATGTGCTGATATTTTTATCAACTTATAAATAATTATTACGTTATAATAATAATAATTATAATTTATTTAACACTGGAGTATGCATTTGATTTTTTATAATTTAAGTGAATGGGGGTATTTATGTGGCACTGAAAAGAAAAATGATTGATAACTACGTTTTTTTCTGTTAATATCAGATTATAAGTTTGTTAGGCATAAAATAATTTATAAATACTAAAATAAAATATTAAAATTGATTTAAAATGATATTGGACTTTTAAATTCTTTTCTTCATGGCAAAACATTATACATTCTAATTTTATATTTTAACATTTTTCTGATGTTTTACTACCACATTTTAAAGTTAATGTGTAATTTTAATAAAATTAATTGTGATACATGAGCACACTAAAATAAAATAAATATTACTATAAATTATAAATACAAAAGAGCAAAACGATGCATAAATCAATGTTAGGGTACTATTATAATATCCCAAATACACAGCTTAGAGTCTTAACATTTGACTGGTAGTAAAATAACTTATTGAATCATAAATTTATTTATTAATCTCCAATAATCCTTATTATTTTAATCAATATTTACTTCTGAAATTTCTAAGGGAAGGAAGGTCAGAAATTAAAAGAAAAAAGTATAATATAATCAGACTCAAGAGATGATATTGTCTTAGTCCAACTATCTTCAAAAATATAGTCGTGAGAAATAAATATATAGAAGTGAGGAATAAATTAACAATATCCAGTTTTATGAATATTCTAAAATGAAAGGCAACTAATAGGATTTCCCTTATCTAATGCACTAGCGGATCCAGGATTCAGTTTTAGGGAGACTTCAGTCTGAAAGATTTTTGATTAAATATATAACCATAATCACTTAGGAAGAAAAAGAAAGGAACTAACTATCTATATGAAATAAAGTTTAAGTTATTCTTCAAGTACAATCAAATGTAATTACACGAACAATAAGACTTTTAGAGGTAATTATTAAATATTTTTTTCATAAGGCATGGTTATATTTTACCATTTTGGAGAGTTGGAACTTCAGCTCAAAAATCCTCACGCCTCCCCATAGATCCGCCCATGATCCAATATAAAGATTTGATAAGGTATATTGTGTTGAAGGCTACTGGATAATATTTGTACTCTACTGCTGGGTTGAATGTCTTTACAAAACTTTACTGAGGTCAGTTGTTTAACCTAAACAACGAACTTATTTCTCAAACTCCATAACCATGATATTTATAATCTCTTTTTTTTTTTATTTTGAGCACCTCCTACCTCCCCATTTGTGGCATGCGGAAAGAGAGAGTGGGTTTGTTCTAGATGTACAACTAACCTATTCTAACCAGATTGAGACAGTCGAGATTACTTACTTCTGCCACGAAATATATTTATATCTGTCTAGGCAGGATTCAAACTGGCATCGCTAGACTCAAGAATGTTAAAGTTTACATTTTAACACACAACCTTTATATTTAATAATAATTGCTGAAAATCTTGCTTACAGACCATTTTTCTACCATACAACAATAGAGGTTTAAGAGGGGAGGTGGACTTATAGGCTAAAACCTCCCCAAAATAGAAAATTAATTTTTTTTTCATTGGTCCATATTTTTTTCTATCATCTGAGCCAAATACTTTTTAAAAAAGTCACAATATTAAATTACAACACAAGTACTACAATTACTAAACGTATGCACGTGTCAAGAAATAATATAAAAATATTATTCCTAAAGACTATATTGTTTCTGTAATTATTTTTATAATAATAAAGTGTTAGCTCCCCAATATTAAATCCTAAATCCGCTGCTGCCATACAGGTCCACCCACAAATATTTAATTTCAACCTTCATAAGCATTTTTCTTTGTTTCTCCAGTTTCCAATTATCATACTCGTTCAAACTTTATATTTAGCCAATTTTTTTATAATTACTATCAATAAAAGGAGTTCATAATTTTTAATAAACCATATTAAAAGTACTTTAGAGGAAGACGTAAATGAGCATTGGGCATTTAGCCCCTGTAAAGTGACATCAATGGGGATAAGATCTAAATGATATTAAAGACCACTTAATTATACAATGTTGCACCGAGTTTGATCAAAGTCGTTTGAGCCGTTTTTTTGACAAAATTGTAAAAATATTTTTCACCGTTGATATAAAGTGTCGTTTCCGGTCAGTCGATGTTAAGGAAAAAGTTGCTTATTGGCATATAAAAACCTTAAATATGCAATTTCATTACAAACAAAAAAGTCACAATATTAAATTACAACACATGTACTACAGCTACTAAATGTATGCAAGTTTCAAGAAATAATATAAAAATATTATTCCTAAAGACATTATTGTTTCTGAATTTATTTTTATAATAATAAATAAAAAATAATAAAGTGTTAGCTCCCCAAAATTGAATCCTAAATCCGCTGCTGCCATACAGGTCCAATCAAAATATTTAATTTCATATTATACCTGTAACACAATATGGCATGTTTAATACTTACATTACATCATGAAAACTAATAGTAAACTAACTTTAAATTGAAAATCCCCATTATCAAATCATTTTAACTTAATTTATGATTGTTGATATAAATGTTTAGATTGATCCTGCTCGCTTGTTTGAGGCTTAAAATATATATGTTCATAAGTTTAACACAAAGGGTTTAAAAGTCAGTACTATAGATAAAGATAACTAGAATAATTGCTAAAAATATTATCTAAGATACCTGTAATTTTACAGATATGGCATGCAGTAGACTAGCAATCAATATGAACTCTTATGTGGCCTCCAGGCTTACTGCAGCGGCACAATTCACATTGAGATATAGTATCTATCCTTCTCCTGTCAGTATCTCTGAAATGACTTCAGCTCAAGCTCTAATAATCACCATATTTCATTCCTTCTTGTATAAAGACATTGAAACAATCCATAGTTTACTTTCTATTAGTAAATTTCTTCCTCAACTTAGATCATCCTTTATCCAAGTTTGGCTCAGAGATGATTTCAACTTCCAAAGAAAAGATGTTGCTAAAGTTTTGTCTGCAGTCGCTCATTTCATCCAGGACCAAGGACCGATTATACCTGATTCAATTCTATTTGCTATCTGTGGGTTGGAAGAGAAATACGACATCTTCAACTTCTTTCAACAGAATGGGGATGAGTTTGGTCAGCAACTATTAGCTTACCTCAATCCATTGGTCAGTCGTGGTACTCAAGTGGAACAACATCTCTTACAGGTATATAAAATAGAAATATTGAGTTTTTGAAATTTTAATTCATTGCTCTATGCACTCTTATATTATTATTTTAAATTATATTATTACATTATATTATTTTAAATTTCTTAAAGATGTTTACTTATTTCGTCTGGATTATTTCATAGAAAATATAATAATTTATACTTCAATACTATTTAGTTAACTAACTTGACAATTGTTAATTTTTTTGTATTTAATTAAGCAGTGAATGGTTTTACTTTTTATTTGATTTGATCTTAGTATGCTATAAAAAAAAAAAAAAAAAATTAATCAATTAACTTTCAATTCCTTTGGGAAGTACTGATCAGAATTTGTGAAATATCTACTTACAATGGCCAAAAAAAGTATTCATACACTACGTGTTTAAGCCAAAAATCTTTTTATTTATTTTTTCAACATGAAGTAACTATAGATAACAATTAGAAACTTCAATTTACATTAATTGTAGAAAAAAGTAAAATTTTTTAACTCTTATTGTATAGAAAATAACAAAATTTTCAAATATGAAGCACAAAAAAAATATTCATACACTTAACCAACCCAAAGAAAATATAAATATCATTCTCAAATAATTTTAATATATTTTAGGGTACCCTTTCATGTTTATCGAAGTATTGAGTCTTCTTGACATTGGTTCCATGAGCCTCTTGGTCTCTGGTCCAATTTCTTTTCAAGATTTTTTAAGATTGTTTATTAAGTCATTCCGAGAGGAACAAGGATATTTTCAGATTTATAATTCCAATAGTGTCCATAAATTTTCATTTGGATTAAGATCCTCTGATTGTGGAAGTGTTTTGAGAATTTGCTTTCATCCGAAAACAACACATTTTTCCAAAACGTGTTCGGGTTATTTACATGTTCTCGGGCGAACACCGATCTTTTTTTTTCCTGTTTATTTCGTTTATAAAAGATATTTTTCTATCGCTCTACCTCTTCAGCCAGCTTCATGTAGCCAATTCCTCATGGTCTGTGGTAATACAGATTTCCTATAATCTGACGCAATGTGATCCGAAACATCTCAAAAACTTAATTTGGCATTTTTAGCCACTTTAAGCACAATTTCACTAGATTTTCTCACTGTCAATGAGAGTTTTCTCCCTGGGTGGGATTTATTGTTCACTGATTCGGATTTAAATTTTTTTATAATGTATTTCACTGTCGTATGAGGTAGTCTGAACTTTTTTCCAATATACCGCAAACTTAAACCCTGTTGAAAATGTTTTGCGTCGTCTTTAAGATGAGAACTCAATTATTTGGTCCTACAATCCATTGCCGAAGAAATATCTGTTCGTATTGAACTAAACAAACCATTTCTGCTTCAGTTTTATCCTTTAATCTTCTGGAGCAATGAGTTATAAATAAAACGTTAAAACACTGTTTTAATAACATAAATTATCGTATATTAACATTTGCTCTAGTATACGAATACTTTTTTTGTGTACAAATTATTGAAATATTAATTTTATAAAAGATGTTTGAGATTTTAAATTTTGGCATTACATAGAATTAACGCAAAACAAAGTTTGTAATTTATACACACCATTGTTTCAAGTTAAGAAAATTATAGTGAACAATTTTGGCAAAAAAACGGGATGAACGAATACTATCTTTGCCCACTTATGTAACCATTACAACTGATTTCAAAGTGAAAGTTGCTTCAATCTAAATTTATAAATTCATATAGAAATTAATAAAGAACTATTATGTTTAGATTTTTTTTAGTAATAATGTCTATTATAATCATAAATTTGTTGAAAAACTAATACCTTAATCAAGAAAGTAATCTCTTAATCATTATTTAATCAAAAGTACTCACTTTCAAAGTACCCACTTCCTGGGTGTGCCAGGAGGGTCTCCTGATTCCAGGTTTAATAAATAATTACTGATCGGCTAATCTGACTTGATTTAAGAGAATAAACAATTGCATTTCACAGACTGTTCAGCATTAGAAGAGCGTGCCTTACTAATTGAGCTACTTCCGTTCCCTGATTTAAAATTATTTATTTTAATCAATGTTATTATAAATATATAATAATTAATTATACTAAATATTTATATTAGTATGAAAGAATAATAATATTATTAATAAATTCATAATACCACATTTTTCTTTTTTACTATTTTAAAAAATAGTTGCTAATAAGCAGAACAAAAAAAAAACTATTTCTATAATATAGCTTAATTTTAATATCTTACTAATTTTTAAATATAATTTGTTTCTCACAGGAATCAGAAGAAAAGTGGAAGGCCAAAATTTCACCGAATGACTTACAAAGAACCAATCAGGTGAAAATATTGTTGATTAATTATGGAATTCATTCATTTTTTTAATGTTTTAATTTTTTATAATCAATTATTTATGTTATTAATTTTTTTCCTTGGTCGATTAAACAACTGATAGGTGAAAGTAGCTAAACAATATCTGAGGATAATGAGTCAGTTTAAAAATACTATGAACGATTAGAACAGTTTTCTGTATATTATAAGTTATTAACTATTTACAAAATTTCCTTTTTTTATTGTAATATTTTATTTTTATTTATCAATCATTCTATGAGTACAAGGATTATCTTTACGAAGAGAAATAAAATTGTCTAGACTGAAAGAATAGCTAATTAAACTTCAATTCATTATTTAACGATATATTGAGATAATGATTAATGAATATAAATTAAGAAACTTAAATTTATTTACTAGATTTATCAAGTACTATCTCATGTACCTAGTTGCTAAGATAATTATTTCAAAGACTTTCATAGCTCTATGAAATGTAATAATTTAATCAAAGTTTATTTTAATATTTAAAAAAAAAAAAATGATCTTATTCTACTATTCTTGTATCAATGTTTCAGCAAAAACTAATGCAATCATTGCATTTTGATGAACTTGACTTGGCAAAGTGTCCACCGATTCGACCACCAAGGGTAATATACCAATATTATTTATATATGCTGTTATTTCAACTCAGTTTTGAAATTTTTCTGCTATGTTATAGTTATTAATGTTTTAGGAAGTGGATTGAAGACAATACTACTAGTTTCACTTGGATTCTTTTTGTAAATTAAATCCAAATCATAATTGGGGGCACAGTAAATACACACATGCAATAAATTGATTATTATTTTACCATAAATACACTTTAAAACAGTATTAAAGTTACTGTGTCATTGTTTTATTTTTTATCATGCCCGCAATAATTACCAGCAAATCATTTAGAAGGCTTTATGAGTTTATTCATTATCATAAACTTACTCTATAAAATCTTGCTTTTAAACTATCATCTATAGAACCATTATGTGTATTTTCCTTTCTTTCTAAATAATATATATTTTTTTTTAAAGCAGGCACCATATAATGTTTAGTCAATATGACTATTATAATTATTTTTTACCAAACACTAATAAAACTAAAATGCTGTATATTCATTTGTTTTTTTAAAATGATTTATTGAAATAATATTTATTTATTTATTTATCAACCCTGCCGTGCCTAGTAGGCAATACGGGTGTCTGCAATAGCAAGATGTTAGGTAGATCAGCTTAACATCTCACTGCTGCAAATGAATCTTGTTCTTCTGCTCTTTCTTCATTTTTTTCCTCTTTCTTCATGGTTGCTTTTCTCATCCGTTTCACGCCAATGGTATAGTATCTCTTCCTCCTCTTCTTAAATTAAAATGGGCTGGCCTCACCGCGACTTTCCACCCGTACACAAAATCTTTGTAGTACGGGTGGAAAGTGACTAACAGAGGAAAATCGCTCTCTGTGAGAATGTAGAGACCGGTTTCCCTCAGTAACTTAGCCCTTAGTTCTTCAAAGGCGGTGCATTGTATTATTTGATTAATCACTGTCATAACACGATTCTGATCAAAATTTTGTTTACAGAGAAACAGACTAAGGAGATCTGGTACTTTGCCACCATCTTCCAAGTTCAGAGTAAGTATTCATCATTTAGTAAATATTAGATCCCTCATATTTCAGTTATACTGATATTACAAGTATTTTATGTTTTACATTTGAAATCAAACTATTTCATTTAGATTTCACAATTTGTGTCAATTTAGAGCTATAGTAATATTGAGATTAGTACTTAATGTGTTTTTCTCACATAATAGGTTGAGGTTAAGCAGAGTTTTGAAATAAATTATTAATGATCTCTACTGAAAAGTGTTTCTTGTTCTCGATCATGTAGGCCATGGATCAATTGAGAGTTTATTTATTTTGAGAGTATTTAGACCTATATAGCATTTTAAACAAATAAATTGAAAAACATGATTATTAACAAAAATATATTGACTATGCAGTGCAAAAGGGACCAATCTATATTTTTGTTTAGGAATTTATCTGTTTTCTTTCAAACCTTATAAATATATAAAAGGACCAACCTCAAATTTAAATCATGCAACATAACAGAATAAATTTAAGAACATTAAATGGAAAGCTTAAAATAATAATAGTAAGAAATCAGACACACATGGGTATAGTACAGATTGGCCCTTGTTGTGAATATGAGTAATACATTCCGTGTTGATAGGAACTTTGTAGTGTTTAGTGAGCTTAAAAAATGTATTATTATAAGTGTACATTTAATGAAAAAGTGCATTTTTAGCATAATTATGCAGAAAGACTCGAGTCAGAAGAGGTACAAAGAAACGTGATCTCCACACCAGCTACGGACCAGCCATCAGCTCCCACACTTTCAGTAAGTTTAATAGACTTTCTTTTTCTTTTTACGATTATCAGTTCTTAATTTCTGGTAAAGGAACAAAAAAAGCCTACAACTACTGACAATGGTACTCCACGCCCAAAAAAACAAAATAAAGTAGGTTATGCCCAACTGTTGTTTAAATGATGGCCATTTTGTAGAGTATTGTGAGAAGTCTAAAATATGCCAGATTATCGATTCTGGTATCAATACAATTTCTTATACTTTTAGCTGTTTCCACTAAGCCACTGAGGGTCAGTTCTGTCCTTCAATGTCCTCTAGTTAACTTTATCATATTATTCAAGTTTTTGTTTGTGTTAATTTTCATTTAACACAAACTCAGCCATCAGTAGTCGCATCATTTATTTTGTATCCCTTCCACAAGGATATCAATTATTCTTGTTTTCTGTTTCATTATTCTACACTTTCACTTTTACCTGCTTCTTTTATTTGTCCTTTGTTTATTCTATTTGCCTACATATCTCAATAAAAACTAAATATATAAACCTATATTAAATAAATATTTTTAAATGGCCTAATCTTAGCAAACGAATATTTCCCAATATGGTAAGCAAAGTTGTGTGTGGATTTTGCATTTATACTTGATTTAAAACTATTTAAAAATAATAAAACATTCTGTATCAATTTGCACTCTTTACAATTTTAATCAGTTTAATTAATTTAGTATTAATGAAACAATTTAATAATTTTTTAAATAAATAATAAAAGAAAAATAGGACCACAGTGATAGAACTCTGCAGCTCAATTTTTTTTTTTTGTATGTAATATTTCAATTTAATATCCATTATTATAAAATTTATTACTAATGGCTTTTTTTTCTTAAGTTAAAAGAACATTATGGCTGAAAGACAGAAGGGTTTTATTATAAAAAACATAATTATATATGTTCTGATTTTCACAGACGGCTATTCAGTTACGCTTGGAATCTGCCCTGGAAACTGGTGATCCTTCTTCTATCGAGCAGGCCCTTAATGCTGGAGCCAATCCCAATCTCACAATCAGAAGTGTTTACAGTTCACCACTGCTCTATGCTGCTAGTAAAGGCCTCGATACCGTTCTCAGAGTTCTTCTGCGTTATGGGGCAGATGTCAATGCCTGTGATCAACTAGGTTGGGGTCCGCTGCACACAGCTACATATTACGGACATCTCTCTTCAGTACAGATTCTCTTGGATGCTGGTGCTAGGTCTAGAAATGATAAAATCTCTCCTCTCCAGATTGCTGTGGCCAGGAATCATAAAGAGATTGTTAAACTACTCATTCGTTATATATCTACAGAAGTATGATAAACAATATTCTTAGGTAAAATATAATCAAATCATTCCTCTAATTTTATGTTGTTTACTGAATAAGAATGATGCATTTTCATAGCCGTAACTCTATATGGCACTTGTACACTTTAGTGCAAAATTAAATCTTTGGCATATTATTTCCTTTTCCTTAGTAATTTTAATAATACATTTACTTGGTACAAAAAAAAAGAATATTGTTAGTTTGAATCTATTTTAGCACACACATATACATGGTGTACCAAAAACGTTGCGAATTTTGCTCTTCATTTGGGTAAAAATAAAGTCTGCATTAACCATCATCTCAAATTTATTGGTTTAATAGAAAATTAAACTTCAATATTTTATTTTTTTAGTTTTGACTATTGTTCACATTAAAATACTGCCAGCTTTTCCAAAAATGATCTTTCTCAAATCTGAAGTTTTACTAATGATATAGTTGGTATTAGTTAGAAATATGATTTATATAATATCATATATTGATTGGCATAATAATCAACTATTCCAAGTATGCATGATAATCAAAGTCTTCTATCTCTTACCATAACTTATAATATGACAGTGATGTTAATTGTATTTAAAATTCAAAAATGGTATCTTTGTTCCGCAGGCATAAGAAATAAAAGAAGTGTTTAAGAATATTGTGATCGTTTTTATTTGTTTCACATTGTGCATCTGAAGATATGATGTATCCTATCAATATGCCAAAGTTAACTATTAAATACTATGTGATACTATGATAAATTATAATTAAGAACTTCCTTATTAAAAGCTGTGTTGTAATTAATATTTTAAACAAATTTGTGTAATATAAACATAAAATTTATTTTAAAAATTTATAATACAACTTGTTTGTAGTTTCTTCTAATCAAGTTGTATAATGTATTGTGTATCTATAAATATAATTGTATATTTACATCATAAATGTAAAAAAAAAAATTGTTATTTATTTATACATGTATGTTTTTATTGTTTATGCATAAAATATGAATACATATTTTTTTTATTTTGTATATTATTTGTTAAATTTATACTTTGTTGTATTTTGTATTTGTACTTTGTTGCATTGTTTATTATAACAGGGCGAACTTATATAGCGCTAATTAGGGTAGACTATTGTCAGTGGGCCACCGATTTCAACCAAATTTTTTTTGGTGACACTACATCAGAAAATATTAGGCACATATCTTGCCGTTAATTCAAATGAGCTCTAGGATCCGAAAAAAAAAAATATTTTATGTAATTTCAAACAAAATTTATTTATTTATTATGTTATTTATTTTGCCTTTGCTTTGTGTGTCAATCAATTTCATTTTTTGTGGATAATAAGAAAAAAAATATTGATTATTGTATTAAATGAGATGAGTTTTTGACTCAAACAATTTAGATTTCATTTTAGTGTCCTTTAAATACAATTTTTTATAAAAATAAAAAATAGCAAAATTTAATACTTGATTTAATAATAACTTTTAGATTTCATTCCTTTTAAAATTAGAAATTAAGAAATACTTGCTATAATTTTTATTTTATATCTCTTGTTCTAATTTGTTTACAGAGGTCGCTTTTATACCATTTCGTGCAGCGTAGAGAGCTCTAAATCCCTGATCATTTTTTTGTGGATCACTTTTAAAGTTATCACAATTTTAGTGGTTGCTAAAAAATTGTGAAGGGTCCAGTTTAGACAAAAATTTTTATTTTATGATTATAATAAAAATTCAAATATAAAGGTTTTTTGAGGTGTGAAAAACGAATGTAAGCTTTTTATCCCTAAAAAAATATTAACTCTAGATACCAGACTAGTTTTGAATAAATATTATATTTGACAGATCTCTGCAATATAGGCACAATTTAGACAAAATGATGAAGCAATGGTGCAGTAAATATTTTTTTAAGGGGAAACAAAGTTTGAAAAACAAAACTTATCCAACATTGTTTACATATCTAGTTTAATATCCCCCGTTAACCTACCTAGTTCCATACCTAGTTTAAGTCCCTAGTTCGGGCTCAGGAAAGACAAAACTTTTTTTTCCTTACTATTATTGTTTATTATTAGCTGAGTCATAATTATTTGGAATAAGAAAATACAAATTCAGTTAATTCTAGTCCAAAAGTGGCAACTTAAGTTGCCTAGATAATAACATACAACAATTAGAAGATAATCATAAATGTTTTGATTTTAGTGGTGCCCTAAGATAAATACAACCTTGTAAATAATTAATGATCTGACAGCTGGTTTATTCAATTATTGTCTTATCTTTCGTTTGAGTGGAATGTGCAGCGAGGAGATCTGGAATCCAAGTTGGGGGTTCAATTTTTAATAGTACTGCAATGATTCTTGGGTATGCTGATTACATTAACATATTGGAAAGAACTTTTGAAGCTATGAAAGATGTATTTTTGAAGCTCCTAAGCGCCCAATGTAGTAGCTAAAAGAATGGGACTCGTTATTAATGAGGCAATAACAAAATACATGATTACAGTCCCTTATGGAGGAGAACCATACAGATATATTGGGGCATATTCCTTTGAGAGAGTGGAGGAATTAATTTATTTAGGATCGCAAGTCAATATCCAGAATGATATTGCACAGGAGATTCAGAATCAGATAGTCTTCGCAAACAGGTGCTACCATGAACTGGTTAGGAATTTCAAGACCATAGTTGTGTCCCGAGTCACTAAGACCCACCTCTATAAGACATTGATAAGGCCGGTATTTGCTTATGCTGCAGAATTCTAGGCTATCACCATTAATCAGGAACAGGCTCTGCCAAGGATTGAGAGGTGGATTCTGAGGAGAATCTTCTTATTTTTCCACCTCCTTAGGGCCATCAGCCTGAAAGGACAACCTCGACCGACACGTCTCCTCCACTAATCCGTGTGATAATCATAAATTATTTGGTTTTAGTGATGGTGCCCATCGATAAATACAACCCTGTAAATAATTAAAGATCTGACAGCTGATTTGTTCAATTATTGTGTTATCTTTCATATGAGTGGAATGTGCAGTCACTGGCCCTCCTTCTCATATCCACCATGGTGATACCTCTGTACCGTCCGAGTCTCTCAATTTAGTCACAATATAACAGCCTGGGCCTGCCTCTAGATCGCCTTCACTATGGTTTTGCTTCTAGGAACCATTTCGCCTTTTGGTCATCAGCCATCCAGTACACATGGCCAAACCGCTTCAGTTGGCAATTCTCTATGACTTCTTTTACAGGCCTTATATTCAGTTCCTCTCTCTCCTCCAGCGGTCTCTTCGTGTTTTCCCTACTAGAATTCTTCTGAGGGATCTCATTTCTATAGCCGTTACTTTGCTTGCATGTTTGTTCAGGACCGTTCAACTCACTGCACCACACAGAAGGATAGATAGAAACAATGTTTTAAACAAAGCTATTTTCGTTTTCTTGTTTACCTCCTGTTTCCCTAATATTGTAGTGCAGATAGAGTAAAACACACCATTGGCATTCTTGACTCTATTTAAAATATCTATAATTAAAATTTCCAAGCCTGTTAGAAAAGGTAGATAGCGAGCAGTAATTGGGCACGATTTTCACCAGAGATGGAAGGATCGACCAGGAGGTTTTAAATAGAGTGAGGAGAATCTTGAGAGCAATATAGTGGAGTCTGGAAACAACAAATTAATGGAATTGGATGGGGATACTGATGTTGTCACATTTACAAGCCGCCTCAGATGGGCTTGTCATTAGAATGCTTGAGATCCTGAAAAACATATTAATCGAAGAAATATTTGGCAAAAGGAGAGGAGGACCAAGGTTGCAGTGGATGGATGGCGTAGCTGCGAATGCCCGATCTATGCTTGGGGTCTGGAACTTGAAGGCGGCTGCTCAGAATAGGGATGACTTGGGGTCAAAGCTGCAAGAGGCCTCATCTCCACGCGGGACGTAGCGCCGTAAAAGAAAAATGATTTATTACCAATCATTCATAAAAGTTGGTCATTCATTGAGGTCATTGTGGAGCCGAGGTATTTGAATGTTTCTGCTCTCGGGAACAATTTTCTATTAATGGTGTGGAATTCTTGTCTAATTATCATATATTGTGTTTTGTCTTCATTTAATCGTAGGCCGATTAGCTCTGCTTCTCTTATTGCCTTAGCGGATTCCTCTATTTCCTAAAGTGACAACATCAGTATCCCCATCAAATTCCATTAATTTGTTGTTTCCAGACTCCACTATATTGCTCTCAAGCATTGCTCCTCTATTTCCTAAGAAAAGAAAGGAGCTTAAAGTTGAGAAGAAGTTGCCTGTTTGTTGATGCTGTGGACAGGAAATGTCTTAAGAAAATCATGAGTGGACTGTTAGTTTCCTGTAAGTTGGTAAGATTGATAAAGATGTGCAAATGACCTTAAATGTCGGATCATTACATATACACGGTGGGCCAGACCCCCTTACCGTGCACCCCCCCCACATCCCTATAAATTGCATATCGTTGTGTTCCTTGTAACAATTTATTAAAAAAAAGCCAATGTTCCCACAAAAAAAAGTGAACGCACTGCCCCAAAATGGCGTCCAAAGATGGCGGATTGACGACTTTGACTTTAGTTAGTTTTTTGGTCACTGAGAATCAGCATTAAGCTTAATTTCCTCATAGTTGGTCTTTTATTAAAGCTGAATAGTTATAGAATAATAAAACATGAAGAAATATTAAAAAATAATTGGCTAAGGCTATGAAAAACACCAGTAAAGTCAATTTTTTTAACAAAAAAATTTTCAAGTTACAAATCAAACGTCGTTTGTAATTAAACGGCCTACAATAACGCAAAACGTGCTGAAATAAACCATCTGGAGAATATATTTCTCTTTCTGAAACGCTAATTATTTTTTACAAATGTTTAAGTAGTTCCGTAAAAAATGCACTTATGCGGCAGAAAAGCGGTACTGGCGTGGGTGCCTACAGGCCTCTACCACACCATTCAGTGCCCATAAATGGCTTAGTTATAGTGATATAATAACATTTTTGGTACATTATATTGGTTTTATTAACGAACAAATATTAATGCAATAATTTAATAGTAAAAAAAAAAATTTAAATTAAAAAAAAAATTATTATTATTTCTTTAAATTTTAACCTCCTTTATTCTATACGTAGGTCGTTTAAGAATACCTCAATTGTAAAAATGGTATAATTATAATAATAAAACTTAATTAAAAAATATTTTGCTAAATATCTTGATTTTTTTTTATTTAACGTTTGCAATTTAACACTGTGTTTTGAATATTTACTGATTCTTAGAAGTAATTAAAATTTTTATATACTTCCCAGGAAATGAGTCATATTCATACCTTTTTTATAAACTAAAATAATATATACCTAATCTGAACTATATATAATGAATAGCTACCGGGTTGTTTAGTAAAACTCATATATCACTAATTAAAAAATTAATTTTTATTTCCTCTATTTTGTGCAGAAGTTGGACTATATCATAAATAAATAGGAAATTTTAATATTGAATGAATTATTCTCTATGCACAAAGAAAGATATAAAGGGTGACCCTATAAGTTCTTCTATAAACCAAAACTGATTGTTTGGATTTGATCTCAAAATGAGGAAAAACGTGAACTTAAACGAGAAAATTGGAAAAATACATTAAGCGAACGAGAAAGGAAGTGCCAAAACCTCGGAATAGATAAAAAGGACCAGTTATATCCATTATATAGCTAAATGAATGTATAGTAGATAGATGAACAGAATATTTCAAGATGCTGCTAAAACGGGATCAATTGCAGTATGGATGATATTAAGTTGACGATGTAGGTTTATTATGGTGAAAACCACTTTATTTTCGATTGCTGAAGGTGCACATCGGGACTATATTAACTTTGAAGCAGGATATAGAGAGGTATATCGAGAAAGTTATAGCTCATAGCTTTCCTTCTGTTTAGTGGATTTTCAAAAGATTTTTTAAGGGATCTAAAAGGAAAACGAGTTTTTCTGAAAGACAGTTAGATATTAGCATAATCCAAAGTGTGAGGCACTGAGCAGATAGAGAGCTATTTTTCTTTTTATGTGGACTTCTCTATAACCTGCCTTAAAGTGAAGACAGTCCCAATTTTCAACTTCTCTTCCAATGTGCAACTTGAGTTTCTCAATCCATATCACTCTGGCAATCGACAATATTTCTTATTCCAGCTTCTACGATTCTTGTGTATAATTTGTTTGGTACACTAAACAGGAATGGGTCTTGATGGGTATTACATTTCCTAGTACCTCCTTTCTTGTAAAGGTAAAAACCACAGTCCTTTCATATTATTTTCTAATATGCTTGTTGCCTATGTACGCGCAAAACTGTCAAAGCAGTTCGGTTTCGCCCTTTCCATCTTTCTTTGTGCAGAGAGAATAATACATTCAATATTAAAATTTCCTATTTTTTTATGATATGGTACAAATTCCGAACAATTCAAGAATAACGAGAAGAATAACGAGCTACAACTAATATAAGATACCTTAAAAAATCTTTTGAAAATCCACTAAACAGAAGGAAAGCTATGAGCTATAACTTTCTCGATGTACATCTCTATATTCATCTTCAAAGTTAATATAGTCCCGATGTGCACCTTCAGCAATCGAAAATAAAGTGGTTTTCACCATAATAAACCTACATCGTCAACTTAATATCATCCATACTGCAATTGATCCCGTTTTAGCAGCATCTTGAAATATTCTGTTCATCTATCTACTATACATTCATTTAGCTATATAATGGATATAACTGGTCCTTTTTATCTATTCCGAGGTTTTGGCACTTCCTTTCTCGTTCGCTTAATGTATTTTTCCAATTTTCTCGTTTAAGTTCACGTTTTTCCTCATTTTGAGATCAAATCCAAACAATCAGTTTTGGTTTATAGAAGAACTTATAGGGTCACCCTTTATATCTTTCTTTGTGCATAGAGAATAATTCATTCAATATTAAAATTTCCTATTTATTTATGATATAGTCCAACTTCTGCACAAAATAGAGGAAATAAAAATTAATTTTTTAATTAGTGATATATGAGTTTTACTAAACAACCCGGTAGCTATTCATTATATATAGTTCAGATTAGGTATATATTATTTTAGTTTATAAAAAAGGTATGAATATGACTCATTTCCTGGGAAGTATATAAAAATTTTAATTACTTCTAAGAATCAGTAAATATTCAAAACACAGTGTTAAATTGCAAACGTTAAATAAAAAAAAATCAAGATATTTAGCAAAATATTTTTTAATTAAGTTTTATTATTATAATTATACCATTTTTACAATTGAGGTATTCTTAAACGACCTACGTATAGAATAAAGGAGGTTAAAATTTAAAAAAATAATAATAAATTTTTTTTTTAATTTAAATTTTTTTTTTTACTATTAAATTATTGCATTAATATTTGTTCGTTAATAAAACCAATATAATGTACCAAAAATGTTATTATATCACTATAACTAAGCCATTTATGGGCACTGAATGGTGTGGTAGAGGCCTGTAGGCACCCACGCCAGTACCGCTTTTCTGCCGCATAAGTGCATTTTTTACGGAACTACTTAAACATTTGTAAAAAATAATTAGCGTTTCAGAAAGAGAAATATATTCTCCAGATGGTTTATTTCAGCACGTTTTGCGTTATTGTAGGCCGTTTAATTACAAACGACGCTTGATTTGTAACTTGAAAATTTTTTTGTTAAAAAAATTGACTTTACTGGTGTTTTTCATAGCCTTAGCCAATTATTTTTTAATATTTCTTCATGTTTTATTATTCTATAACTATTCAGCTTTAATAAAAGACCAACTATGAGGAAATTAAGCTTAATGCTGATTCTCAGTGACCAAAAAACTAACTAAAGTCAAAGTCGTCAATCCGCCATCTTTGGACGCCATTTTGGGGCAGTGCGTTCACTTTTTTTTGTGGGAACATTGGCTTTTTTTTAATAAATTGTTACAAGGAATACAACGATATGCAATTTATAGGGATGTGGGGGGGGGGTGCACGGTAAGGGGGTCTGGCCCACCGTGTATATGTAATGATCCGACATTTAAGGTCATTTGCACATCTTTATCAATCTTACCAACTTACAGGAAACTAACAGTCCACTCATGATTTTCTTAAGACATTTCCTGTCCACAGCATCAACAAACAGGCAATTTCTTCTCAACTTTAAGCTCCTTTCTTTTCTTAATCCAGCTATGTGGTCTCCTATTTTCGTTATACGGATGTATCCGGATATGCCTCTGTAATTACACTCATACATGGAGCATTTCTTTAGGGTATGGCGGATCAGGCCCGATCTTTAATTAAAATGCAGTCTATTTTAAAAACACAAAATATTGTATTTTAAAATACTTTTTGTACTACTGTCACATATACTTTTCATACAATATTATGTTCATTGTACATAAGTATATATATATATATATATACTTCATTTATTGTTTCTTATGTATTTCTTTCGTTAAAAATTAGATTAATAAAAGTAAATAACGAGTGATAGATTTTTTTTCATCTTAAATTAGTTATCGATCCCACTGTGGGATGGCATGACTTTTCTTCTAAACGATTGGTTCTTTCGAACTCACGTCACTCAGCCCACATGCACAATCAAAATAAACATTTGCGTTTCATATAACCATTAAAATACAAGATAACAATTGCAATGGTTTATAAAAGCCTTCTTTTTTTTTCTATTATTAGCTGCGTAGTGCCTCAAGTATACTTGAAGCCATGTCTCCTCAAGTGCCGGCTGTCAAGTTTAACAATAATTTAGAATTTCCAATTATTGGTTTGGGAACTTGGAAGGTAAACATTTTTATGTCTGATGGCTTTGTTCATTTATTATTTTGCTGAAGTTATCTCTAATCTCTAATGCCATTGTTGATTTTAAGCGCGAAAGGTTATATTGTCATAATGTATTATAAACTAAAAAGTGAAATCTCTAACTATAATTTATCTTGAAGGAAACAATGTACTTATATTTTACCGTAGTAATTAAAACATGGAAACGCTACTAATTACTTTAATGAAATATCCTTAACAATATCACTCTTCTTGTAATCCATTGGTAAACAGTAACATCCCTTGAACATTAGCTTGAAATCAAATATATAAAAATTAAGGTGACCAGAAATCTGTACTTTAGAGGTAAATCTTTATTTCTTTGAACCAACTTTATCATTTTTTTTTTTCATTTCATTCAAATGCTTAAACAATAATCTATACTATTAATCTAATTTAGCACAAGGATATCTTTGTCAATTCAGGGATATAGTTGTGTGAACTTTGTCACAAGCCATGGCCTTGATAATGTGACAAAACCTTATGTAATGTTTTCTAGCTGAGGCCTCCCAAAATGGTTAAATATAACCATGTGTTATGAAAGAAATATCACTAAAAGTATTATAATAATAAGACTTAGAGAATCATTTAAACACTATTTCAAATAGGTAGTTTGTTTTTTGTTTTTCTTCAAAAGTAATAATTGTTATATATAAAAAAAAACCTTTCGGGCTGAATCTCCTTAAAATTAAATCCTGGATGCACTACTGGCACTAGCTATGGGTCTTATATAATTTAAATTAATGGAATTAATTAAACATATGATAATGTAATCCGAAAATTCCACCCTAAAAAAAGGATCTGTGTAGAAGGAAAATCATTCCCGTGAGTAGAAAAATTCAAATACCTCTGCTCCACAATAACCTTAATGAATGACCATTAGGTAGAAATGGACCAGTATATAACTAGTGCAAACAGAGCTTTCTTCTCCCTCTCAAAGGTATGGTATTAAAATCCTAAAAAATCTCAAACTAAGGACATACATGATAAAGCCAGTTCTAATATATGGTTGTGAGATCTGGACACTAAACAGCACTCTAGAAAAAAGTGTTGAAAGAATTGAGAGGATAATCCTCCACACGATTACCGGAGCGATCTGGGATCGAAGTACTAACACATGGTAAAGAAAGACCAATAAAGAACTGCTTACCGAAACTGGTCAATCCATATTCCATGATATGAAGGCATGGAGGTTAAGATAGACGGTGCATGTAGCTCGTAGCAATCCATCTGAAAGCCTCTAAGTAACAATGAATACCTCAATAGAAAGCAAAATACCACGTGGAAGGTCCAAAAAGTATGGATAGAAAGAATCAACAAAGATGAAACTGCTGCGTACAGAAAAATGGAAAGAAATAGCCCAAGACAGACAGATGGAGCAGGCTTGTTTAAGTGACAAAAGATCTACATCTAAAGATCTGTAATACCAACAGAAAAAAAAAACAACCAAGAAACTGAAAAAAAAAACTAATTCCTGAAGTTTTATAAATATATCTCATTATATTTAAAGCAAGGCTTGGATATTTTTGTTAAATAATATTTTCAAAAATCAATAGGATAATAAATAATTAAGATTTGCATTCTAGATTTGTTTTATTGAAACCAATAGTAATAGTTAGTGATAGAATTGCTTTATTAAACAAAATATATATTTAATCTATGCAAGAAAAATAAAATTGTATAAAACAAATTTAGGCTGCTGATCCTCATTATTTATCATCCTCATAAAGTTAGACTATACGTCACAATATCAATTGTTTTTGAAATGAAATAAAACGATTCCCTAATGTGAATAACTGTTTTAAAGAAAAAGATTTTGTTTTATAAATTTTACACCTTAAGCTTTCTTTTGTTTCCAGTTAGCTATGTTCATAAATATTATTTATCTCCTTTCTAGTATAATTTCAGAATTGTAGGACATTTTTTTAAATTGAAAGAAAATAATACTACTTGTTAAGGTATCTTCCATCATTTAATTGTATTTAAATACTGGTATTCTCTCTTTACTACTCTTTTATGCTTTTCTTATCTTAAAGTGAATTATGATGTAAAAAAAAAGAATCTAGCTTAATAATTAACAATTGTTTTATTTGTTTTATATCCCTGTCTTATTGAATTATTGAAATTTTAGTCAAAACCTGATGAAGTATCCCAAGCTGTAAAGGATGCCATTGATATAGGGTACCGTCATTTCGATTGTGCTTATCTCTATGAAAATGAAAAAGAAATAGGTACTGCAATTAATGATAAAATAAAAGAAGGTGCCGTTAAAAGAGAAGAATTATTTATTACTACTAAGGTAACAAACTATACAATAAATATTTTACTGCTAGTTATATTATTCTTTTTAATATAGTTACTTATGAAATATGTATGAAAATATGTTTCAAGAATAAAATGTGTTTCTTATACCTTTAAAATTTAATTTTCTTCTAGCTATGGAACACTGACCACAAAAAAGAATTAGTTGTACCAGCTTTGAAACGATCATTAGAGCTTTTAAATCTGGAATATGTAGATCTGTATTTGGTTCATTGGCCATTGGCTCTCAAGGTATTTACTGTTTATAAATATATTTTTTCAGAATTTAGTTTGTTAAGATAACATTGGTAAGATAGAAGAGGCAGGTTTCAGAAGTCAAAGATGGTATAGTAATCATATTTTTACATTGACTTAACTGGTGCACAAGAGGATAGCATATGATCTTGAAACTAACTGAATATTTGTTGACCTCCAGAAATGTATGCCTGATATATGAAGCATATAAACAAAATAACCTTCAACAATGTCTTCATTCGAGTTTTTCTATTTAAACAGGACTATGTTCAGTGGGTACTGTTACAGCCTATCTTGATGATAGTTTTGATATTGTGACTATTGAGTCAACTTTTTTATGTAGGACTGAATTGCTCGATTCAAGTGTAAAACCATGGATGGTGGAAGGCAACGATTACTGTCCGGTATGTAACTCTTAAGAAAAAGAGGACATCATTCATTTTTTGGGGACTTGTCACATGTACAGTGAGATAAGAGAGAAATGTTTTAGGCAGCAGACCTGTTCTCCGGAAGAATTATTTGGTTTATTTAAGAGTTCTAACTGTAAAGCCTTAAGCAATTATGTACAGCAGGCAAGATCTCAATTGGTCAGATAGTAAACTATTATTACAATATCGTGTTTATTTATTGTAATGTCTGTTTTATTGTTATATTGTATTTGATTGTTATTAGTATTGTTGAAATTAAATTTCTTATTTATTGGATTTATGAGGTATTAATGTTTGTTTTTTGAAAACTCTATTTAAATAAATGAAACAGTGAAGGAAGATATTGCTAGAATGGATGTATAAATATATAATAATACTGTAGTTATATTATTACTCATTTATTTTAGTTATGAATGTAATGAATATTTATTATTAATTACACACAGACCGTGACAGATGGAATTTTCCATTGTCTATGTGTTGTTGCTTGTATGTATATATTTTTTAAAGTATAATAAACACGTTTTCATTCATTCATTCATGAAGTATATAAAATATTCTTTTGATAAAATTTTGTAATAACTAAGATATGATTACTTAGGAACACTAAGTAGAGTTTTGGGAGTTAATTTTTTTTTCTGTTTTTAATTTGTTTTTCAGGAAGGTCTTGGATTATTTCCTAAAGATGAGAATGGTAAAACCCTATTTAGTGATGCTAGCTACACTGATACATGGAAGGGCATGGAGGATTGTGTCAAATTAGGTTTAGCAAAATCAATTGGATTGTCAAATTTTAATCATAAGCAAATACAGAAAATTTTAGACATTGCTGAAATCAAACCAGTGAATAATCAGGTATATTATTTTCTATTTTTATTTGTTTAATTATCCAATTTGCATTATGAGCAAAAGTAATTTCATTTCACATTGAGTTATTTCCTCACTACTTTTAAAAATTATATTAATTTAAACCAGTCAGTAAATCGTGAAGGCAATCTCTTTTGTATGCTGGCTAGATCTATTTATCCTAGATTCCTCAGACATACTCCTCACCACATCTCAGAACCTGGTCTTATTCCTCTCTTCCTATGATCTCATCCAGATTTCTTACAATGTCCTTGTTCCATTTTTTTTCCTTGAAGTATGTCCTTCTGAATCCTCAATTTGCTCACCTATGAAAGCCTCTATCCAGTGGGATTCCATTTATTCCTTAAACTTCATCGAAACCATGACAGAAGCTCTTACCGCTTATCTTCACATCATCCTAAACCGTCATGCTCCTCTTATAACAAAAACTATCTCTCCGCTCCTTAAGTAATGCCCGCTCTGAGAGCATCTATGAGAAAAATAGATGCTGCAAGATGGGGGTTCAGAAGAAACCGACTTTCGGAAGATTGTTTCTTCTGAACTCCTTAGATCCATTTGTAAATCCCAAACCAATGATTTCGGTCCAGATAACATCTCAGTTAAATTGATTAAATCCTTACTTCCCTCCTTTATCCCTATCCTTTATCATATTTATAACGTTTCCTTCCACTTTTCCTAGCACCTAGAAAACTGTCGTTGTTCGTCTGCTGAATAAAATCTCCAATCCCGCAACCCATAATGATTTCCACTCAATTTCCTTCCCTACTATCCAACCTTTCCAAACTTTTAGAACGATTAGTTCAATTCCAATTACCCCACTATCTCAAGCAAAATAACCTTCTGAACTGCCACCTGTTTTAGACCTGACTACTCTACCCACACTGCCCTCATTAAAATCTCCCAAGATCTCCATACAGCTATAGACCAACATAAACTCACCATCCTTATTTTCTTTGATTTTTTTTAAAAGCCTTTGACTCAGTAAATCACAATATCCTTCTAACCAAACTTAAAAATATCTCCTTATCTTCTAATGCTCTCAATTGGTATTTAAAATTTATTCTAAAGGGACAACAGTTCCAGGATGATAAAAAAATATTTTGAATTTAATTTCAATAAAGGTTGGAAGACATTGAGATGGACACATTTCCAGAAGGTAGGATTTCAAAAAGTTGTTGACCCGGGGTTTTTTATCTTTTATTTTTCTTTAGAATTTTTAGATCTTGGTGGCCAGTGCCTATCGCAATTAAAATAGTACTTTTTTTTATTATGGCATTGAATATACTTATATTTCAGTATTGTTTGTAATAATTGATTTATATTTTATTTTGGATTTTCAGAATAATATGTATACTTTTACTTATTGTAATAAAAATTCCAAATCCTATTGTTATCTATAAAGTAAACTATTGACCATTTGTACATTTTGTTTAGTTCGAGTGTCATCCATACTTAAATCAGTCCAAGTTGATTGAATTTTGTTTTAAACATAACATCACAGTAACTGCTTTTGGACCTCTTGGATCTCCCTATCGGCCTTTGAGGCCTGGTGCCACGGTTTTGCTTGAAGATCCAGTTCTGAAAAATGTATCGGAAAAGTACAAGAAAAGCCCTGCTCAGATATTGATCAAGTACCAGGTAATGATTCAGTTTTTTTTTTTTGTGTACACTACTATTTATAAGTGTCGTAATTTCCTGATGTGGATTCAGTAATCTTCATTGAAATTAATTGTTGGTAAAATGATACTTCTATGTGAACCTTTCAGTTAACAGAATGACTAACTCCAATTTCATCATTTTTCAGGAAAGCACTTTAAATAATATTTCTCTTCGAAAACATATTCTTACTTTTTCTTTTACAAAAATATAGCAAAAATATTAAAAGGTAACAGTTTACTGAATTATAAATTATGCTCTTTATTTAATGCTGAATGATTATAAAATCAATATTGAAAAGATAAACACAGTAATTTTACGGAGTTAGTCGCTTTGTCAACTGAAAATTGAAAACAAAAAATTGTTTAGTAAATGAAATGACTCCATTCAATTTTTTTTTTTTTTTTTTTTTGGTTGTGACAGTGTTAAAAAATAAATATACTAAACATAAAATGATTTATTAAATGAAAAATAAAATAAAATACAATATTTTAACTTTATGTTCAATACAAAATATAATTTTTTTCTTGAATCCCTTGTTTTTATAGTGTGATAATATTTATGGTTAATAGGTGGAATATGTTTAAGCAAATCTAACATGCCTTTTTTTTTTTTCCTGTTGTGATATAGTTCAAGAAATTGGTTATAATAAATCCTGATTTATTAGAAATAGCTCCATTAGTCTACTTACATTTTCTTTCCTAAAATTGATTTCTGTGAATTCATTTATATGAAAAGAATATTATTTAAAGATTTTGAAAGGATTTTTTTTGTCCAACCTAAGTCACCTGATGTTAAGCCAATTTACCTTTTATCCCCTTTTTCACTTATTCTCCTGTTTGTTATGGCATCTTCTATTTTTTTTTTTTTTTTTTTTTTTTTGAGATCCATGGCTTCCTTCTGTTTTAGCCCAACAATATTTATAAGATTTGTTTAAATTAAAATTGTGACATCCGAAATTGTAAATATACCAGTTTGTACTAATATACTATAGAAGTCTTTTATTAAGGAAAAGGTAAAGCTTTTTGAAAATCATTACTACAAAGTTAGATAACATTTTTTATATGGACTTTAGCTTTAGAAATTTTATGTGTTCTGCTATCTTTCAAATCAGTCCTGAATTTTTTGAGACACATGTATAAATCTTTCCGTCAGAAACACCAAAAGTATGTAGAAAAAAAGTATTACAGACTTTGATTTTAGTATCATTTTGTAAAGCTGCAAAATATTACAATGTATTACTTCTCAGTTTTTAGATCCTCCTAGATTTTTTCAATTAATTCTCTCATCAATATTTTTCTTTCAAATTCATCTTTAATATTCTGAAAACATTATACAAGTACTAACTTATTTCAAAACATCATATCGTTACACATTTCCTTACAGTGGCAAATATTATTCTTACAATTTTCTGGAGTAATGAGTCTCTCACTACAATTAAAAGAAAGGATATGTGGTTGAACAATGTAAACAAATAAAGGGTTAATCATTCGGTCAACTGAAAAATATTGATGTTTCTTCGGAAGAGAAATTAAAAGTTTTGTTTTCCTATCTAAACAACTAATACAAAAGTTTTAATAGGTTTATTTTATAAAATTTAATAAGCATATTCACATAATGAAAAAATATTTTCGTGAAAATGGCAGATAGTTATTCTGTCAACTGAAAGACTCATATAATTGATTAATTTAAACAAATTACATTAACAAAAACTGTGTAACATTAAAAACTTGAAGCTTTAAAAGCAAACTACATGATGGAAATGGAATTTTATTGAACATCAATCCAAAACGATATTGTTACAAATATTTTTACTATACATTATTTAATGAACTCGTTTAGTAAATTTTATTGTTTTTTTCTAGATACAACGAAATGTTGCAGTTATCCCGAAAAGTGCTACCAAATCTAGGATAGCTAGTAACTTTGACGTTTTCGATTACACGATTTCATCAGAAGATATGGAACTACTAAATGGTTTAAATAAACCTGATGGTAGATACTCTCTTTTAGATGAGTAAGTTATTTACATGAAAGTTATTATTTTAAGGCACTATTTTGATTGTTGTTGTAAATCTTGTTTTTCTGTTACAGCTGTATGGAGCATCCAGATTATCCTTTCAATGAAGAGTTCTAATAATTTCTTTACTTATTATTGTAATTAAAACTGATGAAATACAGTTGATTTTGTTGTATTTGGTGTCTTCAAGGAATATATAAGCCCTTACACTTTAAATTTTTTTATTCTACTTCAAACAACGTTTCAAGCAGATTAGCTCATTATTCAAGTCATCTACAAAAAACAATGAACTAAGATAATTTAAAACAATCATCGCTTATTATCTAGTCATATAAAAACAGAATTTACCAACAAATTTTGTGTCTACTAAAATATATTTCTATATCATAATTTCATTAAACAACCATTTGTAGTACACCAACTACAAAAATAACTATATTCCTCTTCTTCTTTGCGCATTTATTGATACTTGTCATTCTGCAATAAAAATACGATTACTTCACTGTTAATTTTGGTTTTTTGGAATACAAGTTTAATCTAATCTAACCAGTAACTTCTGCAGTTCCAGACAGAATGTCCTGAAGAAGATCTACAATGTAGGCCGAAATGTTGAACAATGCAATAAATATACTATTATATAATACAGTAATTTTTTACCGCAACCTCGAATGACTTCTTCTGAAATTAATCTAATCTAAATTGTATTTGTTAATATTTTTTAAGTTATACTTTTTTCCTGTATTAAATTCCCCTGTTTAAATGAAGAGCACTCCACATATGGAAGGACAAGCCTGATTCGAAGTTCTCTTGGCTGATTGTAAATAGTGTTTGTATTTATCTTAATGCTCATCAGATCTGTTTTTGTGAACTTAAATGGAAAAAAATCACTAGCATTAAATAATAATCTTTTTTTAATGATATTTAGCCATGATCTAATTCAATTTTCAAATTAAAGTTACTAAAATAACTTTATCCTTAATTGTAGAAAAAAATATTTCAATTTCATTTAGCTTCTCTCTATTTTTTTTATTTTTTTACCTTTGTATGTTAATTTTCTTATTTTACTTTCCACAACTCTTTTTCTTTTATATCTATTTTAGTTATCACTTGTATGTATATATTGTGTGAATGTTTAATTTAGCCCTAATATTAATGCCCTCCAATGCGGCAAAATGTATTAATTTCCAATAAAAAATAAAATAAAAAAAAACTAGAAAAAAATTATAATTTTGCTATGTAAATAAACTAAAAGTTGAATCATATTTGGATGTATTGGCAAGTATACTAACGATATATATCTCATAGGTTGGTAGGCAATGTTGGTAGTTAAATTAATTATTGAAGAGAAGAATAGTTGGGGTGGTCAGTCAAAAAGGAAGGCAAAAATAAATGATAATATTTATTTTTACATGTGCCGACGTTTCGACCTGAATTTCAGGCCTTCATCAGGGCTAAGAAAATAACCAGATAACAAGGTATGAGAAACATAAGTAGTGATGGTAAAAAAAAAAAAAATAAATAATAATAAAAAATAAAATAAATAAATATAAAGTAAAATGAAATTGTTAGAATAATGAGCTTTTTCTATTTCAGCTTTCTCAATTTCTTCCCTCCTTCCTTTCATTCCTTTTCTCTGTTTTTTAACTCTTCATTATATTATACATTGTCTGTACATCTTGATAGACTTTACAATATCTCAATTTTCTATCTAACTACTACATTCTCAATGTCTTAATTTTACTATTTATTTTCATTTCTTATATAACTTCATATTTCTTTTTTTATGTTTTACATTTTATTCTAAGATTCCGATTGTAACACTTATGTCACCCTTTTTGATTATGTCTACTTCATCATTCCACACTTTGTAATGGTTATTATTATTTATCTCTTAGTTCTTAGTCATTATTCTAACAATTTCATTTTACTTTATATTTATTTATTTTATTTTTTATTATTATTTATTTATTTTTTTTTTACCATCACTACTTATGTTTCTCATACCTTGTTATCTGGTTATTTTCTTAGCCCTGATGAAGGCGTGAACTACAGGTCAAACGTCGGCACATGTAAAAATAAATATTATCATTTATTTTTGCCTTCCTTTTTGACTGACCACCCCAACTATTCTTCTCTTCATTATCCACGACAGTCAACCAATTCCCAATTATAAATTAATTATTGATGATGAAACTCGAAAAAAGAAACAACAAATGCTCTTAAGTGAAGCTGTAAGCTGTGCTTTGCAAGAAAGGAACAACTTAATGGTTGAGAAGACTATAGGCAGTCAAGAAGGTACATTAGGAGCATAAGGCCACAAAAAAAAGAGCTGATGAAGACTCCAAAATATTCCTTCAAATATCTAAGCGATGATATGCATTTAAAACTTATCCTCGTAAATCTATGTTGGCAATTATATAAAATAACAGAATGATTAGTCATATACACTTCAGGATCTTTCAGACAATATTTGTCTATAATGCTTCAACCAGAAATAGATTTTATTTTATTTAGAATTTGATTTGTACCAATTTTTTCCTCCATGTCACTACCTAGCTATATAGATATAAATAGTAAATTGGTAACATGATAACGTTGAAAAGGATATCTGATAGAAATTATAAATCAATCTAGTATATCATAACAGGCAGAATCTGTAGAATCTAGCCTTGCTTATCAATATTAGATGTATAATCAGTATATTTTGAATTAATTGGTTCTGTTTTAGAACCTATTGAAATAGGAATTTATACAGTAAAAGTATAATAAATGCCGCTTCTGCAACCCTCTACCCGCCTTAAAAAGCAGATAGCCAGAAGTGTAATAAATACTTGAGAGTGATAAGAAAAGTTTGGTGACCGTGAAGATCAGGTTTTTTTTTTTTAAGCAGTGTTTAATAATTTGTAGCATTTTTGGTGACTATTTTTAAAATTATAATAACTGGGAGGTTACCTCCTGTCCAACTCTCATTTTACAAATCATACAACTATTCATTTAATTGTTCTACTCATTGCTGAAATTGTATTACTGTAATTTACATGTATTCTACAGTTCAGTTTGTATTATTTTTTCTCAACAAAACAAATGAAATGAAACCACAGTTCAGACAGATTTTTAATCCCTTTAAAAATCTACATTTGTGCCTTATTAGCAATTTATATTATATAATTATAATTATTCTTATTGCCAATTTGTAACCATAACATATATTCATGTTGTCCAGCTTCATAGAAGCCCAACATCAAGAGCCTTTTATTTCTAATATTTTTATTATAGTTATATTGTGCTTCCTTTTCGATTTCATAATAATTATAATAAAATGTTTAGATAAAAAAATAACTGCTGTCACCTCTAGATGAATATCGGACTGCAATTAATAATTAATATTTAATTATTAAATGAGCTGTTTTTCTGTGAGAATTAGCAATAATGTATTCAAATGACATTTTATAATTAAAATATTACACGGTCACTAAACAATTGTTTATAAAATAGAGATATTATTAAATTAGTAAGAGTACTGTTAGTCAACATGTTCATAAAAAAACAATGAAAACATGTCAACTTGTGTCAAAATTCATAAATAAATTTTATAATTCTAAATAGGCATTTCTAATAAAATCTACTAAAAGTAAAAGATCACCATCATATTCAGGAATTAATTTAAAATTGTGATCTTTAATTTCCATCGCCATCTATGAACCTACACTAGTTTCTAATAATAATTTGTCAATATTTTCTGGACTTAATGTAGTATTTAATTTCCTTAAACTGTTTAATCTATCTTGTAAAGTTTTCATGAAATAAAAATGAACTTTACCATGAAATATGTTATCTTCAGTGAACAAACTTTTTCTTGATTTTGCTTAACAATTGATCTTGAAGCTTGTGTGACAAGATTTCAAAATGAAATGAAATGAAAAATAATTTTATTCTGGGACTGAAGTCCCCTTAGAATAATATTAGAGTTTAAAAAATACGTACATTAGTCTGGCATGTAAGTATCATACAAATATATGCAAAAAATACCTAGGAAATTGTAAACACACAAAGATTCTAAGGAAAATACAAATATATAAAAAAAAATGCAAAGGAAAATATAAATATCTACAAAATATACTAACAAAAAACACAGATATGTACAATAAAAACTGAGCTATAAAAAAATTAATAAATACAAATAAATGACTTCTATCAATTAACTGCTGGTGACCAGTCTAATTATATAACCCAGAAATTTTTACAAGCTTGGGGAAGTTTGAATTTGTAGTAGGTGGTGGAATAGGAGTTGTTTGAAGGAGTTTATGGACATGGTTTGACGTATGGAGATGGTTAAGGAGGTAGCACTAATGACAAAGGATATACTGAAGGAAGTGGTTTTATGGGAGGGAATATATAAATCTATAGGTTGAGAGAGTGGATAGAGGAGCGTAAAGTAAGGAGTTCTAAGATGTAGGGAGGGTTTTTGCTTCTGAGAACTTGAAAAAGAAAAATACCAAGAAGGAATTGCAGTCGGGAAGTAGGATATGGCCATTTCAACTCAGTGTACCAACAAGAAATATGAGAACGCTTGGGAATCCCAAAGATGAATCTTATGAAGCAATTCATAATTTTCTTCCGTCTCGCCTACAGTTCTGTGGACAGCCCTCCATACACCAGGCAACCGTAGTCGAAGTGGGGGAAGACAAGGGATGTTACAAGGAGCTGTCTGGTTATTTTTGGAATGGAATCATGGAATAGAAGGAATTTTTTAAGAATAGTTATGGATTTACCGGTAATCTGGGAAATGTGGTTGTTCCAAGAGAGGTTCTGATCAAAGATCACTCTGAGGTTTTTGACTGTCGGAAAGAAATGGATGGGACGGTTATTGAGGTAAAATAAAGGAGATAAAGAAGGGGAACTAATGAGGTGCTTGAAGCTGATTAGGATTGCCTTGGTTTTGTCTGCATTCAGCTTTAGTTTATTTTTTCCGCCCACCTATGGATACAGTCAATATCCTCTTGTACTTTTCGGATAGCCTTAGGCATCTCAGATGGTTGGAACAATAAGTAGATTTGTAGATTGTCTGCATATAAGTGATAGTGGGAATGACGAATGGAGTCAGGAGTCACTAATAT